TATTATTTATTTATTTATTTATTTATTTATTTATTTATTTATTTATTTATTTATTTATTTATTTATTTATTTATTTATTTATTTATTTATTTATTTATCTTTTGAATTCTTCAAAGAACTTCACCCATATCAGTTGGTCTGTTTAAGAATTTCCTGCAAGTTCCAATTATGGAGAGTTTTCTGAACTGTGCAATCAGTTTGCACGGAACACCAGCCAAGCCTTTTTAATCTCATCATCATCCCCAGATATTAGAAGATGAATACCAAAGGGTTAACAATTGAACTAAATATTAGTGAAACCTAAATTGAATTAAATTGAGTTTAAGTTGGAGGGAACAATTGTAATAGTTCCAGTAAGGCTAAATTGTCATTTAAATAATTTTCTCCAAACGTTTTATTTGTTTTTCTATAAGCATTTATTTCGCAGTAAAATCCATATTTCTGGAGATATTTTGCATCAAAGGAGGAAAACTGTGAACAAGTGACTTAACATACGTACTATCCCTCACCCACATATCTGGATACAAATCCCATCAGATACAGTATGATTGAGTAGACATACATAGGACTGCACAGTTCAAAAGAGTGTTTAACAATGCAAACTGTCAACTGTCAACTTCTACTGTCAACAGCGGGGATAGTTTTAGTTGCCAGATCAGGTAGAACATGTCAGTATGAGGTAATCTGCCTTAGAGAGATGACCTCCTACAAATTAAAGCCTCACAAAATTTATTAATTTCTGCCTTTTAGATCACTTCCTCTTTCTTCAAGGAACAAGTTGGTTCTCCTTTTGTCTGCAGTGGATAGAAAACGGTGAGATTCTCTGTGGTGGCCATTGGCCTACTTACAAACATAGAATCCAGTTCTAGGGGCTTCCATACTCAGGTCTAGGTTTTATCCTGTTTCATACTGAACAGATTTCTTGGAACAATAAATGTGGGTTGAGTTTTGGTTTGTTTGTTTGTTGTTGTTGTTTTTACTTTTTTCCCATGTGTATCCTGAGCAATTAATACTAATTCGTAGCTCATCTTTTCAGCCTGCTCCACTCTGTTGGCATAACCGCCACAGCAATGTCTTAGTTGATCTTTTCTTTTAAGGAACATCGGAATTTCCACGAACCCTAGTACCCCTTGGGACACAGGCTGCAAATCCACAACCTACTCCATCATCACACAGTCCCCATATGCCTTATTCTTCTATCCCTACTATACAAAACTCTTCCATATATTTGGCTTTCCATTGTACAGCATTGAACACTGACAGTGTGACATTCCATTTGCTCACTTACATGGAAGGGAAAAGCTGTTCTTTGAAATGGATTCTGCTTAGTTCCAAGCATGGAAGTCTTTTCTGGGAAAACAGAGAAAGGAGATTTTCTGTTCTGGTGACAAGATCACATAATTAGGGATTATGCTCCTGATCTTTTGACAGCAGCCTCCGTGGGCCAACAGGTTTACAGATGGCAAGAGAAAATGCAAGGGGGGGGAGAAGGTGGTCGTTTGGCCAGTGAAATTGTCCTCTGGCCAATAGGCTAGCAAATGAATATTTGCTAGGATATTTTACATGATATTTTACATGAACCAGAAGTTCTCCAGCCCTGACCCACCAACTCTGCACCTTGCCTAAATCCAGCCTAAATCTGTCATGCCCTTCCTCACCATCTGATCACATGCACGTTCCTCCCAAAGAAAGCTGCCATCTGGGGCTTCAGAAAGTACTAGATGGCAAGAGAAAATGCAAGGGGGGGGAGAAGGTGGTCGTTTGGCCAGTGAAATTGTCCTCTGGCCAATAGGCTAGCAAATGAATATTTGCTAGGATATTTTACATGATATTTTACATGAACCAGAAGTTCTCCAGCCCTGACCCACCAACTCTGCACCTTGCCTAAATCCAGCCTAAATCTGTCATGCCCTTCCTCACCATCTGATCACATGCACGTTCCTCCCAAAGAAAGCTGCCATCTGGGGCTTCAGAAAGTACTTCTTTCTGGAAGCTGAAACAGAGAATAGAATATATAAAAAGCAAAAAATATAGCATGAAATCTGTAAAATAGAGTGGCTGTGTTCTGTAAGTTCATGAAAGAGGCAAGACAGTTGTCAGTATTTTATTGTCTTTGATCACATTTGACTGTTAAGTTTTTTTTCAGGTTTTGCATTTTTAGAAAAGAACATACTGTATGGTTAATCTTGAAAGATAAATAGGGATGTTAGAGGGCAAGAGTGGATTTTTTTCCTTTATTACATCACTTAAAAATCACTAATAAAAGCTAGTTCTCAACCCTATGCAGGTTTTCATTACACTGGACACCACAGAAGACCTTTATAGGGTCAAAAGTTAGCTTTGTAATATTTTAGTGGTATAATAAAGTATCACCACCCCCTACCATTGAATAAAGTATAAGGTCCATATGGTCCCCCCTCCCTTTTTTAAAATAGGGAAGTCCATCTGTCTTTCATTGCTTACCATTTTCAGCCTACATTTAATTCAACGCCCCAGTGGTCGTTGAGTTGCAAATAAGGAACTGAGTCCATAGGATTTATGGCTGTGGCCCAAGCCATCCTGTCCAGAACCTAGCTAGTATTTGAACCCAGGCTTCTGAACAACATGGTAAATAATAGTGTCTCTCTGCTTAATGACAGTCGATCAGGAAGAATATAAAGGGTGATCCTTACAATGCCGCTTCCTGCTGAGCTTCCACCACACGATCTTCCAAGAGGGTGATGTTTCTGTGGAGCTCCTTCGTTAAAAAACAAAACAAAACACAAAAATAAAGGGAACAAATGACCCTGCTACGACAATGCTGCACCCTCTCTGCACTTCATACTCCCTGCTCAATGAGGCCTTAAGCTCTATCAAGAAGCATTAAATGGTGGTGGGAGAGAATTTGAATACTGTGGGTCTTATTGCCTAAGTGTAGAACAGAAAGGGAATTACCTAAGCATTAGAGAGAGAGAGAGAGAGAGAAGGGGAGGGAGAGGTTACCTATTATGTATTGTGTGTCTGTTCTTACACTCATACACAACCAAGTACATGAGGAACCTGCCAGAACAGATCATCGCCCTTCCATTCCACATTTACAGGATGTTATACCGGCCTCTATGTCTGCCTCGTCAAAGTCTGGGTTGAGAGGAATTCTATGCTCTTTCAGAAAACAAACCTATTGTAGAAATAGCAGAAACTATTCAGCAGAGGGCGTTCCAAACATTGTTTCCCACTCCTGTCTCTTATTTACATCCATAATTAAAGAGAAGGGGCAAAGACATTTCAGACCTCAGTAACACCTAGGTAGGAGTCCTGCCATCAAAATGACCATTGAACAGAAATGGGATGGGTTTCTACAGTAGGTGGGTGGGACATACCTGACTCTTCAAAGACAATCCTTGAATGGTGGTGTTCAGTTTCTCAATCTGGTGCTGCTTCTGAAATCCACAGAACAATTTTGTTTTTGTTTTTGGCTCCGATTTTGCTTGCAGCAAAGAAGAAAGACTGGTCAAATTCTAGCTCCACCCTTAAACAAGTCAACCTCATACTTGGTTGGACGTCCAGTGGGAACGTCCATACAGATGACTCCCAGCACTAGCCAATCATCCTTTTGTTGTAAGTTAGAAGTGGAATTTCATGTTATTTTACAAACTAGGGGAAGGTACATATTTTCTCAATATATATCCTACTACTATGGTTCATCCATGCTTAGCCCTACCTTCCAGCCTTTAAAAGGAGTGTGGTTTTGATGGCGGATAATGACTTTTCAAACAGTGGAATCTTTTACAGCTAAGTGTGATCCACTATACTCTTGCGTATATAAGGAGTCTCCTCACAATATACACATACAAACAATGCACCCTAGTGTTCCTAGAGGTCAGTTAAGCTGACTTTAACCAGTAAATTGTTTAAGGAGCTGACACTGGCATGATTAGACATGTATACACAAATATTTCTTTAGTAGCACTTGAAAAATCCATTAAGGGACTACAAAACCTATGGAAAGTGAGGGAGCCCAGACATCTGCTTTCATTGTGGTGCCTACTAGCCCTGGCTAAGGGAAGTCGTTAAGATTCCTTCCCATTTGTCACAGGCAGCATTGCTATAGAGCATTTTCTGCTTCTGCATGTGTGACACCTTGATTTAATGATGACTCAACTCCATAAATACTTGCATACTCCAATTTGTCCTCACCCTCTTCTCCCTGCTGTTTCCTGGCCCATTTTCACCAAAGCCCTAACCCCAGCTCCATACAGACAACTCTCCACTTTCAACTTTCCACTTCTTTTTTCCTGCCTTGTTGAAAGAGGCGACATTTGACTCTACAACTGAGTGGCCTCCAAAATGTCCTGTCCTCAACAGTCCTGCTCAACTCTTGCAAAGGAAAGCCTGTGACTTCCTTTAAGGAGTCAGTCCATCTCACACTTGATCTTCCTCTTTTCCTGCAGCCTTCAACCTTTCCCGGCATTATTGTCTTTTCCAGAGAATCTTTCCTTTGTTGCAACACATGGAGCATAATTTTGCTTGCATGAGAAATTAGAGCAATGGTCCTATATGAGTTATGCAGCATGAGGCTTTCCTTTCACCTCTGTGCATGTCAGAGCTAGATGTCTTTCCAGCATTAATCTACTTGCATCATTAGCAACAGCACTATTCATACTAGCCTTCTGCTCTTGCCCCCACGCTACCTTCAATATTCTGAACAAACTGTCTTGTCTCTTTTCTTAAATTCTGCCTTAATTATTCTCCCCTTATAGAAGTGCCATTAAAGTATCTGAGAGGCTAGTGGCTGATAAATTGTTGACATGTAATGCAAATAAAGATAAGTGTAAGGTCAGTCCAAATGAACTTGCACAGTGCACACCTCACAATGTACTGTGCCTGAGCTCTCTGTAACAGGCTGTAGAGAGGAGTCCTGTTTCGAAATTAATGTCTCCCTTTGACTCAGAAAAAGGTTGTCTCGTTTTGCCATCCACAGGCTAGGTACCTTTAAGCCACAAATGCATCTGGATTTACCTGCCTGATCCTTTCATTCTTTGCTCGCCACTTGGCCTCCCATTCAGTCAAGTGTCTCTGTGGAGTAGAAAGGATACAGAATATTCTTGTCATCGTGTGCGGCTTTTGGATGTCAATGGCAGCTACTAACCTTAGGCTCCATAGCACACATAGGACATGGGTGGTTTACAGTGGAGCACAGGAAAGCTCTGGGTCATTTTATCAAAGGAGTGAAAAGGCCTTTTATTACAGATCACTGCCACCTGTGGCTACATACTGAGGGGAAGGAGGGATGGATTGACTTAGAAATTGGAAGCCCCTTGACAAGCTCATGCGCAGACTTCTATCATGTCAACAGTTAACCTTATCAGTTGTGACACATGACATTATGACTTTTGCCATATGCGCTAGAGAGAAGATGCACTTGCTGCTCTTTTCTCAGAGACGTAAACTCCAGAGACCTGAAGAAGAGGTTAATACCTGGAAAATGGCAATGCTAGCAGTTGAGAACCTGGTTAGAACAATACAGATCGCTTGTTCTTAGAAGCAGGACTTCCCTCACAACTAAAAGGCATCATGACATGACCTTTTCTCATTTCCCACTTTCCCCTCTTTTTGCATCTCCCTTCAGTTGGCAAAAGACATTGGTTTGGGTTTGTGATTGGTCATCAGAACATGGGCTTCCTTTCCAGATCTGATTCCTCAGGTATGAAGCCCTGTGGGAATCAAAGAAGGATCACCTTATTTGAACAATAACATGCTACCTCCAGTCTGAATGTTCTAGTAGAGTGGTTCCCAATCTGGAGTTCCCAAATGTTCTTTGTCTGCAAATCCTGGCCAGCACAGCTAGTGGTGAAGCCTTCTGGAAGTTTTAGTCCAAGAACATCTGGGAACCACTGCTCTTGTAGGACTCTCACACTGACTATGGGTATTTTCAGGTGGACAGTTCCTAGTGCTACCAATCAAAGACATATAGGCCAGCATTCTATTGGTGTGCACTTAAGATCTGTGTAATTTGCTGGCTGGATAGCTCAGTGGCAGGTTGGGAGTTTGATTCCCCACTGTGCCTCCTGCAAATAGAGCCAGCCTTTGTGACCTTGGCCAAGCTGCACAGTCCCAGGACACCCCCTAAAAGAAGGGAAAGGCAAACCCCTTCTGAGTATTCTTTACCTGGAAAACTCTGGAAGGGATCGTCATAAGTCAGAATTGATGACACGTTAATCTTATTAATGTGCCATGGCATATTAACTAGGTATCAGGTCATGTGCCCAACTGCACAACTGAAACAAGCCCCAGCAGCTTGGCAATCAAGTAAAATTCACTGTGGCAAGTTAGGCAAACGGTTTGGCTAACTTGCCCCAGTGAATTTTAGTTGCTAGAAACACCAGGATGATTCTAGCCATAATACAAGTGGTCCACCTTGTAATTTTATTCATTAATTCATTTGTTCATTTAGAAGGGGAAAAAAGTTGGAAAAAGTAATGGGAAAACATTGGAAAGATACAAACAACAATGTCTGGATCGCTCATTACCAAATTCCTTGAACTAAACAGGGCCATTTCCCAAATAAAAGACTTGCCTGGAAGCCCAGATCACATTCTGCAATATTTCTTCAAAATAAGAGCCCGAGATTGATCAAGAATAGCTACTGGAAAAATTAAGGATTATTCCTTTAATGACATTTGAAGTGATGAGAACACTTGGCATGGCTGCTTATTCCAGCACAATCATTGTGCACACAAGAGAAGTATTTTTAGTGTCAACTTGTTGGGATTTACCTGGTCCTTCTACTGAGAGGCAGAAAACCTCTGGCTCTCACCTTTAGTTCCATGCCTTCTGTTCTCAGCTCTTTCAGGATGTCCTTGCTTGAGTTCTCCTCCAGCTGTTGCTTGAAGACCTGTTAAATAAATGGTAAATGGAACAGGGGATTTCTTTCGCTGTGAGTCTCCAGTAAAGAAAGTGAAGCAGAAGAAGAGAAAAGCATCCTGTCTATGGTGTGATCCTTTCCAGGAACATAGTCACAGAAACAACTCAGGTGAGTGACAAAACTAGTCCTTCAATACCAGAACATGCATGCTGTGGACTGGGAGGCTAAACATCTTCAGGGGCCCATGTTTGAAAGAAGGCCAGACTCTTTTTTTAAAAAAAAAATAAACACACTAATTTCAACATACGTTCAGTTTTTATTTGGGTAAGCAAAAGTACAGCATGTCATTTACAGTGTAACATTCATCTCAGTTTAAGTGGGTCTTACGCTTGAGAAGAAGAGATAGAAATTAGAACTGTGCTAGTTGGGTACAACTTTGCCCAGCCTACAGCAGCACTCACCTTTTTTTCCAGTTCTTTCACTGTCTCAGTCATTTTCTGATTTTCCTTTTCCTGTAATTTAATAATGAGAAGGAACCATCAGGAACCATCTCAGAAGCCGATTTTCATTCCTGGGCAAAGCCTCTGTGATGTGCTCAGTAAACTAGGTAAAGGTTCCCCTTGACATTTAGTCCAGTCATGTCTGACTCTCAGGCATGGTGCTCATCCCCGTCTCCAAGCCGTGGAGCCAGCGTTTTGTCTGCAGACAGTTTCCGTGGTCACGTGGCCAGTGCGACTAGACACAGAACGCCGTTATCTTCCCACGGTAGTGGTAACTATCTGTCTACTTGCATTTTTGCTGCCAGTCACCCAAATAGAAATGGTGGCCCCAGCAGTTCTGAGAAGAGATAAGAGGCCAGAGGGGGCTGGAACAGACTGAGAATTTATACCTCTGTCATGCGAAGCCTTTTGCCTCACATGCTTTACTGCTGTTCATTACCAAATAGGTGAAAAGATTGTGCCCTGGAAAAGAAAACTGTGCCATAAACGTGTGGATTCAATCTTACGATTGCTGGTCTTGCGGCATAGAGGCTTCTGCAGTTTAGCCCGCAACGCCACCACGTCCCCTGGCTAGCTCAGTAAACTAGCCAAATGCTAATTCTGGATGGGGAACTTCATGCCCTCTACTGCTTATGGCCCTTTCAACCAGACTTGACCTGGACAGTCCTTCAAACACCAGACACCTCCAAAGAAAGAGGATAATCCTTTGGCAGCTCCTCAAATACAGAACTGTTCTCCATAAAGTTGGACTCTTGCCTGCCCCAGGTCTGGGAATCTAGGCAGGAGCAACCATAAATTAAGAGGGTCATCCAGCATTTTGATGGCCTTCACCTTAAGCAGAGAACATAGGGAACTGACTGAAATGATCACTTGCTGAAGCTTTTGAAATGAAACGAGAATCATGGGGGTGCTGATTGGCCATCTCTACCATAAGGGTAGAAAAGGGTATTCTCTCCTAATAAGATGGAGTCTTAATTAACCAAAAGTAAATACCTGTCCTCTCAATCCGCTCAGCCATTCCAATGCCAGCTGCCCTCCCCAGCATATTTTTTTGAAGAGAATCTAGAAGACTATGTTATGTCATTGATCCTCACATCTCTTTGTTTATGTGGAAAGATGACTCTATGAATGGGTAAGAGAGAAGCTGATGGCGGAGAGAGCAGAATGGAGGGCTCTCCACATTTCCATCTAAGGGGCTCACTCGCTTGTGAATGTGCAGTTGCCGTTGTCGACTTTGATTGCGGCACTCCCGCAGGGCCTCCTGGGCTTCCTCCAGCTCCTCTTGTAGTGCTTGGGTCTTCTTCTCCAGAGGTTGGAAACTGCAGAGGATGAGAGCGAGCCACATACTTCTTCAGAACAGACAGGGCCAAGGCCCTCAAGGGAAGTCCTTCCCTTGTGTAAAAATGCCCTGTCCTTTCTGCCATAGGCCTGCTCCTGTCCCACTTCGTGCTTTTCCAAATGTGCAAGACTGTCACTTTCTGCTAAGCTAAGTATATGCTTTATATTACCTGAGAGGGATAACCCTTAATTCCCAGTTTTAGATGGCCATTGTCTCTCCATCTTCTCTAAGAGAGAAGTGGCTCTGAGGGTAACTCTGTGAGGAATCCCTCTGAGAACCTCACCTCTTAGCCTGCAGCAGGGAGCAGAGCTGGGCCTGGTGCCCCAACAGGACCTCGTGTTGTCTCTGCCAGACTTCCCCATGGGCGAGTTCTTCATGGATCCACTCCTGTAGCCAAGCATTCTCTCCTTCAAGGTTTCTACAGTCAGATGCAGGGAGATTAAATGACATACGAAGAAGGTAAAGAACGAACACGAAACATTGTAGAAATTATACCCTTGGCACATCTACTCCAACGGATGTGTAAAGACTGATACTCAGTAGTTGTCTACCCTGCTTTAAATGACATACTATATGTAGTTCTATGATCCCTTTGGGAGTACTCTTTCTTTTATGCTCCTTACACTTATTGTCTCCCACCCATCCCAACAGCCTTCTCCACATAACAATACAGAAATCAGTAATGTCACCTCATGTTTGATCCTTATCATTCTGTAATTGCTTTCTAGAATATATTTTCTGTGGGGAAAAGAAATCAAACACACAGTTACAAGATGGGGAAATATCTGGCTCAGCAATACTACAAGCAAGAAGGATCTTGGAATCTTTGTAGATCACAAGTTATATATGAGCCAACAGTGTGATGTCGCTACAAAAAAGGCAAATGCTATTTTAGGCTGCATTAACAGAAGGATAGTCTCCAAATCCCATGAGATACTAGTTCACCTCTATTCAGCATTAGGTAGGCCTAATTTTGAGTCCTGTGTCCACTTCTGGACACCACACTTCAAGAAGGATGCTGACAAATTGGAACAAGTTCAGAGGGCTGGGAGCAAGGTAATTAGAGGGCTGGGAACCAAGCCCTATGAGGAAAAACGGAAAGAATTGGGCATGTTTAGCTTTGAGAAACATGAGGGGAGATATGATAGCACTTTTCAAATACTTTAAAGGCTGTCATACCGAGGAGGGGCAGAATCTGTTCTTGATTATCCCACAGTGCAGGAAATGCAGCAGTGGGCTCAAGTTACAGGAAGCCAGATTTCAGCTGCATACCAGGAAAAACTTCCTAACTGTTAGAGCAGGTCAACAGTGGAACCAATTACCTCGAGAGGTGGTGAGCACTCCAACGTTGGAGGCATTCAATAAAAATTTAGACAACCACCTGGCAGAAACCCTTTGATCTGTATTCCTGCTCTAAGCAGGGAATTAGACTCGATGGCCTTATAGGCCCCTTCCAACTTCATGATTCTATGATTCCTTAGCCATAGTCAGCTCCTCCTTCCAACTTCATTATTCTATGATTCCTTAGCCACAGTCAGCTGTCTGAAAATGAAAAGCTTTAAAAACACACACCCAAGGCCTCTTTGCTTTAATTTGTTGCCTTTAACCTGTGCCAGATCCATGACACTCAGTTCTGTAGATGGCCACTTCCTCCTCTAGAGCATAGTCAGGATATGTAGAGGCATGGACTATGGAGACCCTGAAAAAGAGTTTACCTTTCTTAAGTGGAGAAAGGAAGCAACTGAAGAAGGATGAGAGAAATCACTGCATTATAGCACACCCAAGGATGCAAATACAGTAGAACCCCCTTATTTACAGTATCAGCTTCCACTGACTCACTTATCCACGTCCGAAAATATTAAAAATATTAAAGAAAAAAGATCACATGTATTATCAGAACTGGCAACTAGAGGGAATCAGAGACTGTGCTATGGATACTTGTTTGTGAAGAATACATAGCATGGTATTTGGCTCTCTAATACATGTGAAAATATTTTAATCTGTTTTTCCCTTTTACCATTCTATCTATCTATCTATCTATCTATCTATCTATCTATCTATCTATCTATCTATCTATCTATCTATCATCATTTGCTGTTATCCACAGTTTTCAGTGTGCAATACCACAATACAAGTGCACTCATTTCACACGCTAGCAAGGTTAGGCTCAAAATCCTCCAAGGTAGGCTTCAGCAGTATGTGGACTGAGAACTCCCAGAAGTACAGGCTGGATTTCGAAGGGGCAGAGGAACTAGAGACCAAATTGCTAACATGCACTGGATTATGGAGAAAGCCAGAGAGTTCCAGAAAAACATCTACTTCTGCTTCATTGACTATGCAAAAGCCTTTTATTGTGTGGACCACAGCAAACTATGGCAAGTCCTTAAAGAATTGGGAGCACCTGACCACCTTATCTATCTCCTGAGAAATCTATATGTGGAACAGGAAGCAACAGTTAGAACTGGATATGGAACAACTGATCCGTTCAAAATTGGGAAAGGAGTACGTCAAGGCTGTATATTGTCTCCCTGCTTATTTAACATATGCAGAATACATCATGTGAAAGGCTGGACTGGAGGAATCCCAAAGATTGCCGGAAGAAATCTCAATAACCTCAAATATGCAGATGATGTCACTCTGATGGCAGAAAGTGGGGAGGAATTAAAGAACCTCTTAATGAGGGTGAAAAAGTGCAAAAATGATCTGAAGCTCAACATCAAAAAAACTAAGATCATGGCCACTGGTCCCATCATCTCCTGGCAAATAGAAGGGGAAGATATGCAGGTAGTGACAGATTTTACCTTCTTGGGCTCCATGATCACTGCAGATGGTGACAGCAGCCACGAAATTAAAAGACGCCTGCTACTTTGGAGGAAAGTGATGACAAACCTAGACAGCATCTTAAAAAGCAAAGACATCACCTTGCTGACAAAGGTCCGCATAGTCAAAGCTATGGTTTTTCTTGTCGTGATGTATGGAAGTGAGAGGTGGACTGTAAAGAAGGCTGACCACCAAAGAATTGTTGCTTTTGAATTGTGGTGCTGGAGGAGACTCTTGAGAATCCCCTGGACTGCAAGCAAGGAGAACAAACCTATCAATTCTAAAGGAAATCAACCCTGAGTGCTCACTGGAAGGACAGATCCTGAAGCTGAGGCTCCAATACTTTGGCCATCTCATGAGAAGAGAAGACTCCCTGGAAAAGACCCTGATGTTGGGAAAGTGTGAAGACAAGAGGAGAAGGGGATGACAGAGGACGAGATGACTGGACAGTGTCATTGAAGCTACCAACATGAATTTGACCAAACTCCAGGAGGCAGTGGAAGACAGGAGGGCCTGGCGTGCTCTGGTCCATGGGGTCACAAAGAGTTGGACACAACTTAATGACTAAACAACAACAGTTTTCAGTATCCACAGGGGGACTTGGAACCAGTCCCCAGCAGTACATCAAACACCAACATTTTTTTTCAAACATAGTATAAAAGCTGCACACAGTTTACAGGAATAAATGCTTGGCAGCTCATATAATATATATGTTGTAGTGAGTACTAAAGAAAGAATCATACAAGATTTACGACTAAACGACTAAACACACACACAGTGAGTACTAAAGCAAGAATCATACAAGATTTATCTGATTTCTGCAAGACTGGGGCCAGTCTGAGTTAAAACAGGATAGCAACTTCTGACCACCAAGCAGTATAGCTTAAAAGTCTCCCCAGAGACATCACAAAGACCTGGTTGTCATCACACAGACAGAGGTTGCTCAGCAACCACCTTTACCTTTCTGGCCTTGAATATTTTTTCTGCTTACTGTACTATTCTAAGATCATCCATAAGTTCCACTGTTCCACCAATTAACTACAAGATGGGAACAGACAGTATTAGTCATTACTCAAGAATTGTGAAATTCCTTGAAGATTCATATCTTTACCATCTGCTGTTAGAAGCAGAAGTTAAGCTGCTACTGTTAACAGAAACATAATACCCAGACTCCTGTTGCTGAATGTAAGAAAAGATGTAACTTTCAGACCACAATGGACCAAAACCATTGTGCATACATGCTCACAGTCATCATGGCAAGGACTTTTTATTTGCTAAGAAACAGTTTGAACATTACAAGGGTTCTTAAGTTAGCAACAGGATTTCAGCCAATGTTTTGAAGCTATTGAACAATTAAGTGTTCAATCTGTGTAGAACTTTTGATTTTAGGTTTAGATGTTCATTTTTCGATTGTGATGTTCCATAGGCTGCTTACCTCTATGACCTGTGTGGTAAAATATTTATTCCCTCATAAGTATAACAAATAAGGAATAATGGAAAAGGTAAAGTAATCATGTACTTTGTAGGATAATACAGCCATTGACATGTCAAATACCTGGTGCCCTCCATCTTGGATTGTGCTGCTTACCTGCTGGTCTAAAAAATGGTGCAGTGAAAATAACCTTTCCATATTTTGTAGTTTTGGTTTAGGGAGGTCTTGAATTTTTTTTAAAAAACTCTTTGTTTGCCTTTATTAACTTGCTTGCTCTCGTCTTATCTTGTCTTGAGGAGAAGAAAGAAGACTATGTGTTTGTTTTTTATTTAAGGGGGCATGTGTTTCTGTGTGCAATGGTTTTCCTGTTTGATTGACTTTTGAAAAAAGTATTTGGTTAATTTCGTCATTTGTCGTTTAGTCATGTCCAGCTCTTCATGACCCCATGGACCAGAGCATGCCAGGTCCTCCTGTCTTCCACTGCCTCCCGGAGTTGGGTCAAATTCATGTTGGTTGCTTCGATGACACTGTCCAACCATCTCATCCTCTGTCGTCCCCTTCTCCTCTTGCCGTCACACTTTCGTAACATCAGGGTCTTTTCCAAGGAGTCTTCTCATGAGATGGCCAAAGTACTGGAGCCTCAGCTTCAGGATCTGTCCTTCCAGTGAGCACTCAGGTTAGATTTCCTTTAGAATTGATAGGTTTGTTCTATTTATTCTGTGAAAGGTGCATAATTGGTGATTGGGGGGAGGGATTGTTTTGTCACTAGCTAACTGCTTCCTAGCCTCTTTTCTAGTGAACTGTGCAGATCCAGAGAGTCTCTATTGTGTTAGGTGGGTGTTCCTGAAGTCATACCATTGTTTTCTATGTCATCATTTTTGGGTGCTTTCCTGCTTTTTTATGTGGTTGGTGTGGCGTTCGCCCTCGTGCCCCTTTCTTGACCATCAAGACTCAGAGCATACAAAGACAAACAATCCCCTCTCTTACACTGCTGCCACCAGGTGATCACTAAATCACCATTACTTCAGGAAGATGAAGATTCAGGTCCACACTTCAACGTCTTTTAAATAGAACATTTGTTTATTGATTACAGAAATTGAAATTGATTCATGAATATCTTCTTTAGGTAAAGTTATTATTAACAACAACCTTCTATTTTATAATACACTCCTAACTCTAATCACACCTCAGAATTTCCCAGACTCCACACACTATCTTCCTCCCTTCTCTCACTCCATTCTGATTCTTTCTCTCTGACCTCTTGACTGACTCTCTGGCTCCACCTCTTATAGCATCTCTCTCCCGGCTCCGCCTCTCAGCAACATGAATATGCATGAACAATTACATAACAAAACATGAACCATTGACCTAATAAAGGGGAACGCTACAGACCTCCCCCCTTAAATATGTTTGTTTGGGAGGGGAAACACCCTTTTCCTCCTAAACAAACAGGCACAATTGCATAACTTACGTAACAATTCACAGCTCTATAGCTAACATCACATTCAATATAACAATTACCATTCCTATTACTCTAAACATTTTAAACAATTACCATTCCTTATATTCTAAACAATTAAAAAAATACCATTCCTTACACTCTAAACATTTTACTAATACAGTGGTGCCCTGCATAGCGACGTTAATCCATTCCAGATTAATCATCGCTATGCAAAAACATCGCTAAACGGAACAGAAAAACCCATAGGAACGTTCCTATGGGGCCCAAACTCACCGTTCAGCGAAGTTCCTCCATAGCACCACCATTTTCGCGCCCTCGGTAAGCGAGGGCTGGGGGCAAAAACAATGCGGGTGGCCATTTTCTGTGTCCGGCGGCCATTTTGGAACCGCCAATCAGCTGTTTTAGAAACATTGCAATGCGAAGATCAGTAAGCAAAACGCTTACCTATCATCGCAATGCGATGTTTTGCCCATTAAAACATTGCAATGCGATCGCATTAGCGATCTAAAAAATACATCACTATGCAGATTCGTCGTTAAACGGTGCACTCGTTATGCGAGGCACCACTGTATTCAGTAATATACTTTACCTTATCATTTACAATTTATTACTATTTTCATTAACATTACCAACCTTACAGAAATCGCAATCAGGAAACTTTTACATAAATCATTAAACTGTGAATCATAGTCCATTTCAGTTTATAGTAAAAGTCCTGGTATCATTCTTCACGTCTCTGTCCATGGATCTTCAATTTTTCATAGCATTTACAAATGTCTGTCCTCCCCATCAGTCTTTTGGCTTCTGAGGCATGATCTGAGTCTCTTTTGCAAGGTCCAAGTTTGACATACTCCTGCGGTCACCTGCTTGGCACCGCACCTCTCCAAGTCCATAGCTCGAAGCATCTGTAGAGAGGGTGGACTCACAGTTGTAATCAGGTGCACTGACGACTGGTCCGGTTGTTGCCTCCTCCTTCAGCTGGA